CCAGTTGCCAGCACCCACATAAAACAGCTCACAACTACTTTTAACTCCAGCACAGGGAATCTGATGTCCTCTTCTGGGCTCCATGGGAACTGCACTCACATGCACATAAACACAGGAACATACACATACACACACACACACACACACACACACACGAAATAAATCTTTTTTACAAATTTTATTTGAAAGTCCTTCTATTTATTTAAGTATCAGAATTTTCTATATAAAAACATTATCATCTGTCCATGTCTTTGTGTATGTTAGGCCTATCCTACTCTGCTAATAACAAAGGACACTTAGCTATATTTTTATCCACTTTTCCACCTTTGGGGACTTCATGGATCTATAATTTATTTTTGTATGTATGCAGTGAACTAGAGGTTTGGTTGTGTTGCTCACTGAAAATTCAATCAGTGCAGCATGATATATTGAGTAGTAGAACCTCACTAATGTCTCATGCTGGCTCTGTTTAGAACCAAGCACTTGGGGCTGGGGAGATGGCTTTCCCCACAAGCATGAACTGTGTAGCTGATGATAACCTCAAATTTCAGATCAGGCCCTCACCTAAAAGTGCTGGGATCATTGGTGTACACCACCCACTTTAATTTTGCAAAGCCCACAGATTTATAACTAAATGATTTGTAACCAACTACCTCTAGGTTTCTTTTTCTATTGTGAATGTTTTTATTTTCAAAATTAAGTTCTTGCAGCTATCCTACCAATTTATGACCTACATGTATAAAGTATGACATAAGCATAATGATCTGTTGACCCTTGCATATGAATTTACAAGCAGTCACCTTACTGGTTTGCTTATGTTGATCTTAATAACTATGTGCAATGTCTTTGATTCCCATTAGTTGATTCTGCTTCAGTTCTTTTTTATTCTATTGTGTACATGTGTGTGTGTGTGTGTGTGTGTGTTGTGTCTGCCAGGTGCCCTAGTTTCCTTTCTGTTGCAGTAATAAAATACCCTGATAAATGCAGCTTAAGGGAAAAGGATCTATTGCAGCTCACAACTCCAGGTAGCAATCCATTGTGATAGGAGGCACCAAGATGGCAGGAACTTGAAGTAACTAGTCATACCCATAGTCAAGAGCAGAGAGAATGAATGCATACACGCTTGCACTCGGCTCTATAACTCCACCCTTCTACAGTCCAGGATCCCCTGACTAGGGAATGGTGCTTTCCAGAGTGGGCTGGGTCATCTCACACAAATAACATACTCAAGACAGTCCCCCACAGACACACCCACAGGCCAGCCTGACCTAGACAGTCCCCCCAGGGACACATCCACAGTCCAACCCCACCTAGACAGTCCCTCACTGGGATTGTAGACTGTGTCCAGTTGACAGAATGAACCATCACACTAGGCAAGCACCACCATTGAGATACGTCCCCGGTCTGCCTCTCGTCTTACAGAACTCACTAACCAGTACCTTCCCGTGGTGTCAGATAAAAGGGGTGACAGCAAGAATCCTCACGCTGTTCTCAGTTTTACTGTAGAGAAGTACACAGGAAGATTGATTTAATGTTAATAGAATGGACTTCGGGAATAAATGTGGTTGGTGGTTTATTCTTATTTTCTGAGAGATTTGACTTGCTTACATTTTATATAGAATTTTTATGTTTATGCCCCTGAGATTAATGTGTATAAATATTTTGATTTGTAATTCTGGGGAGAGAATCCAGGTCCTTGCATGTGCGAGGCAAATGCTTGTCACTAAAGTATTCTCCATGTACTATTGCTGTTCAGCACTGTTACTGCTCACTTCTGTTACCAACACTCACAAGGCAGGCAGCAATAATGTTCTTTCAGCCATCCCTCTCTGTTCCCCCTCTCTCTTTTTCGTTTTTTGTTCCTGGAGATCACTCAATTATAATACCATCAATAAAACACTGACAGGAAAATAATTTATGTAACTCATAAAAGTATGGTCTTGGCATCAGTCAACTGGGAGAGCACTATATGGGAACTTGCCATGTTCTCAGAAGTGGATCCTGGCTTCTTAAACAGAAAAGAGAGGCCGTGGACATCTGTTTCATTTTATTAGAGATGAAAGTTTGAAGCCTTGTTGAGTACAACTAGGTCACACATTACCATCCCTAGCTGCAAGGGTGACTGGACATTTCAGCTTATTTTGCCATCAAAATTAAGACATCTATTATATCTACCCCTAAGAACTGATCAAGTGTTCTCTAGAAGTTACTCATTACTGTTTCTCTGGAGGTTGCTTTTGCATTTTGAATATTTATGCTTGCCTTAAAAAGAAAAGGCTGTGTGTGGCACTTTATGTCTTTAATCCCAGCACTCAGGAGGCAGAGGCAGGTGGATCTCTGAGTTTGAGGCAAGCCTGGTCTACAGAGAGAGTTCCAGGACAGCCAGGGGTACACAGAGAAATCATGTCTCAAACAACAACAACACACACCAAGAAAACCCCAAACCAAACAAAAAAAGTGAACGAAAACAGTCAACATTTCTCTTCAATCCCTAAATTATATTAGCACCTTGGGGCATTTTCTTCGTTATAATAAGGTCTCTTTAATCTCCTGCTATTGTTGTCTATTGTTTTGAGGCTACAAATATGCCACAGCTAGCCATTGCCCATGCCTTTATAGCATTGCTGGTTCCTCTGTGTGCAGTCGGCTCTGCCCAAGTGTTTGCCAGTTTCTCCTGTATGACCTTCTCCTTTTTCTTCAGTTTCAGCTTGTGGAAGTATCTCTGCCGGTAGTTCTTTCTTTTAAACAGCACTTTAAGTGTTATTTTTAAGTGTGTGTGTTTATATGTGCACACAGGTGCAGTTGCCCATGGTGGAGGAGGCTTGGAGCTGGAGTTACAAGTGGTTGTGAGCCACCAGACATAGGTGCTGGGGACTGACCCGTGACGTGCTTTTAGTTTGAGTGTCTCAGCCTTCAGCTGTCATGAACCTGTACGTACGCCGACTCCCAGGGCCAGCTCTCCATCTGTGTAGGCCTGAGGCCACATTTCCTGTCCCAGGATGGGTATAACACCCCAACCCCCAGACATCAGGGCCTACAGTGGGCCTGATGTCTCCCAGCTTCCACGGCACTCGCTGGCCCTTTTCCCATCCTCTTTCAGGTTCCCTTCTAACTCTAGGACCTAAGGATTTCCCTTTCTTTGTTTTAAGCTTGGCTTTATATTGTTATATTTCATCCTGTGTTTGTCATAGGAAGTGGGGGAGGGTCAACACTAATCTTTCCAGTTACTATTACTGGAAGTGCACACATTCTATTTATAACGCATTTTCCTCTCACTTATGTTTATGACTACTTTAAAATAAATATCATATATTTTGATAGAGAAAACAGACATGACAGACAGCTGGAGACGTCTTCTGTTTCAGCCAAAGTTATAAAGTTTCTAACATTTTTCTTGATTTGGGTACATAGGGAACAGTCCCCAGGCACTAACTTAAGTGAATGCAACTGTAGCTGAGAAGTGGAATTTTCCATAGTTTCTGTGCTCCTGAATGTCCTTCATTCTCCTTGCTCCTGGGAGGTGGTCCCTGACGGCACCTGCTCTGGTGTGCTTGACACCCTCCACACTGAGAAGACCCGAGCAGACTATCTAGAACTCTGTCTCTAGCCATACCTAGGGCCCAGTGACTTTCACAGATAAACAGTTAGCTGGGGCCTGAACTACTTCTTAAATCATGGGAACCCACATCTTTCCAACAGACGAATGGGTTCCATCTCATTTGCATTTCAGTGTGACTCAAGAATTCCCTGGGACTGTATCCCCAGGCGGATAAAAGCATATTTGGTTGGTCAGCCCAAGGCCTTCCCTGTCAAGGTACTGGATTGGAAGACTTCCGTTAACTCTGTTGACAAGAAGAGAAGTCTCTTCTCATGACAGAGTAGTCTAGTTCAGCCGTCGGGAGAGTGACATGTCTAAATACGCCCCCCCCACCACCACCACACCCAAGGCTCAGAAATGGATGACAACACCCAAGGCAATGGAGATAGGGGGACACCTAGCTTCTCAACAGTCACAAATGCAGGGGCAGGCTCGTACATGTCTGCTTCGTGTGTGTGTGTGTGTGTGTGTGTGTGTGTGTGTGTAAATATACGATGGAAAGGCTAATACAAGGTTCGTTTGCTGAACAGTTAATTTCATTCAATATATTTCATATAGGACTACACATAATCTTTGTGTGTGTACATGGAGGCAAGAAGTCCACGTTGGGTGTCTTCCTCAACCACTCGCCACCCATTTTTTGAACACAGGGAGTCTCTCACTGAACCTGGAGCACACTGATCTGGCTAGCCTGGCTGCCAGTGAGACTCTCGAGGAATGCTGTCTCTGCCTCCATCGGAAGCACTGTGATTACAGGCACATGCTGGTGCTGGAGATCCGAACTCAGAGCCTTCCTACTTGTGTTGCACACCCCCCCCCACAGCCCTTCACTAAAAATATTCTGACCCAGAAGAGCACTGAACAGAAAAGCAATGGCTGAATGGGGATATAGAATAGGGAGAAGACTGGACAAGCCCCAATAACCAATTATGCCATTGGCAGTAAGGAAACTGAAGATATTAAAAAATACATTTTGCAAAGCAGAAAACATAGCTTGGGTGAGTGCTGGCTTATAACTTGCCCAAAAGGAGAATTACTAACACAGGAAGGGTGAGGTCCCTTGGAGGAGTGGAAGCCCACCTTAGCCACCATGAATTGCTATGGTCACTTGGTTGGTTTTCTCTGGGGACACCTGGGTAGTTACCAGACAGTACTGAAAAACCTATTAATCAAGACCCATAGCCACAGGGGCTGCCGGGTCCCCTACTACGTCAAGGCACAGCCGTTTCCTCTCCTGGTTAACACGTCCTGGGGATGGATCAGATGTCCTCTCACATCATCAAAGGTAGCTTCAAGAGAAGCTTCACACTCTCCTGACGATTCTGGTTTTGAAGCAGTCATATTGGTGTCGGTCAGGGTGGCACAATGGCTACCCTCACGGCGTCAGGCGTCAGGGACTCACCTGTTGAGATATACTCGCTTCTCCGTGAACTGCCCATTGCCGTGGTGAGGGTCCTCGAAGGGCTCGTTCTGCACGACCTCCACCCCTTCTCCCCGGTCACTCTGCTCATGGCTGTGTTTGCTGATCATATACAGCTGTCCGATTTTGTACTGCAAAGCAAACAGAATCGGAGACAGAGAGGTCAGCCCCAGGTGCCTCTGATGAATCCGCACACTGTCCTCCAACGACAGGACGCCCAGGACACTGTCCTCCAACGACAGGACGCCCAGCAACTAATCACATCCACCTGCTGAGAAAAGCCATCGGCCACTTGGGTCAAAGGTCCCTGGAGCTGGGCAGAGAACTCCTGGCAGAAGTGCATTCCTGTGAACAATGTGAGTGGCCATAACCGAGCGCTCCCTGGGGCTCTTGGCAATCTTTAAGGTCTATGCTGACGTGCAGACACTGGGAACCAGATGGTCTGCCCTGGTTTACATTCTCGCTGTACAGGGTTAAAGGGAGTTGGTGTTCTATTTGGCTTGGTCAAAGGCAGCCTAGGGGGTGCTATTTCTGCCCAGTCTTTCTAGCTAATTGGCAGCATTGCTGGGCACAGGGATTAACTGTCACCTGCATTTTCTGCCGCCTAGAATAGCAGTTCTCATAGGTGGCAGACAGATCTCGAGAAAGGTTGATTTTTTTTTGCCACACCCACTCCAACTTGATCTTGTTTTGTTTTTTCAGGCAGATCTTATGAAGCTCAAGCTGCTCCTTCCTGCCTCTGAGAACTGGGGACTGAACCTAGGACTTCATTCATGCTAGGCAAGAATTGTTGTTTTTGAGACTGTCTCTCTCAATCTCTCTGTATCTCTGTGTATAGCCCCTACCTCTGTCTCTCTAGCCCACAAGGCCTGGAACTCTTGACAATGCTACCTCAGTCACTCACATGAGCCACTAATGCTAAGGCCCCTAGATGCTTCAAAAGCTCCAAATCCACGTCCCACAACTAAGAACCTGAGTTCAAGGAGCCTGTGTCGTACTGAAGAACACCCCTGACCCTCCGGGTCATTTTCACACAAATATATTAGCAGTGTGGGGCCTTCGGGAGTCCAAAGGCCACATGTCAACCCTCTAAGGTGTCATGGAGCAAGCCAGGACTGAAACATTTTCTTTACTATCTTCACCCCAAAGCTGTCAAACTTTCTTTCTTGCCTCTCACAAAACTCCACGTCTGAGCCTGTAAGGTAGCCCAGTCCAGTAGATAAAAGCACTTGCCACCAATGACCTGAGGTTGGTCCCTGAAACCCACGTGGTAGGAGAAGACAGAACTGACTCACATAGGCTGTCCTCTGGCCCCTACACATGTGCTATGGGGCTTGCATCCCACACAAAACAAAATTTATACATTAAAAAAAAGAGGCAATAATAACAATCCAAACAAACAAAAAGCCAACCCAAATCCAGCAGGTGTTTCTTTCCCTGGTGGACTTCCAACATGGCAAAAGAATTTTATGCCCCATTTATGTGTGTATGGGGGAGGCATAAAGAGGAGGAGAAAGGGAGATACAATTTTGGCCTGAGAGACATTTATGCTTGGGGTCAGGACTCTGCTGTGGTCCTCTTTACACACTCAGTGTGAACCAAAGTTACCACCACCAAGACCTGAACCTTGGGCAAGCTAAAGCAGATGTCTGGTTGTTCCTAAAAGGGCCCAGGATAGCCGGGATGCAGAGACCCTGTCTTTGTACCAAAGAGAGAAGATCTATGCTAACTCTAGAGGCTGCTGAAATACTCAAGTCAGCGTTGCGGTTGGTTCCAAAACTGAGAGGTCTCTTGTCGCAAGGTCCCTCCTTCATGCTGAGGCGGCGCGTGTGAAGACACTCCGAACAGGATCCAGTCCTCAGCCAGCTCAAGAGACCAGGCCCAGTAACCATGACAATGAGTCAGGCTGTGGCTGGATCTTCTCCAAGGGCTATGCATCCTATCTGGCCATGGTCCTGTCCAGAACAAATCTGTGTTTAAAATGCTTTTAATGTGTGTTTGTGAACTTGTGGGGAGGGAAGGCCTAAGATAAGAGCAGGGAGAGGGGAGAGGAAGCTGGGAGCTAGGTCCATTTTAAAAAATTAATCAGAGGATCAGGGGCTTGACCTGGCTTGCCTTCTATCTAGCATGGCTTTTACATTTTGTTCACAAAAACTAACAAGGATGTCCCACAAGGACGAGGAATTAACCTGTGAGGTTAATGGTCCACCTTCCGGGCTGAGGCTGATGCTTAGCAGGTGCAGTGTCAACAGCCACTGTTTGTACTTGGTGTCTAAAAACTCAGTGATCATGGACAGTGGACTATTACTCATCCACAAAAAGAAACAAAATGTTGGTACTGAAGCCACTTAACGTGTACTGTGGGCTGGAGTGTTTGAAAGCTTGAAATCTCTTGGTGGGAATGTATTTTAAAAGACGCCATTAGAATAGTTTCATCCAGTGTGACTGGTGTCCTTACACAAACAGGGATACAGAAAGATTGTGTGAGGAGTGGGTGGCCTCGATAACCCGTAGGTGGGGCCCAGGGCAGATGTGCCCATGCCAAATCTTCAGAAAAAGAATGCTCTGCCCAGTTCCCATTCTGGATCTGATCTCCAGGATTGGGAGGAAATAAATGGCTGTGGTTCAACTACCAGTAGAGGCCGCTCTGTCGGGCATGCCTAATGAACAGCATGGGGTCTGGGGGTGGCTCTGTCAGCGTTTACACACAACATAAGGTCCACAGCGCAGACCCCCAGCACCCCGAAAAAGCTGAGTGTGGTGGAATGCACCTAGACTCCCCGCAGTGGGGAGGTGGAGGCAGCAGGAGCCCTGGAACCTGCTGGCAAGCAGGTGAAGGTGTCTACGATACAAGCCTGGCTTCCTGGGCTCCAACTCTGGGACCAGTGTAAGCAGGGAAGGAAAACTGACTCCACTAAGTTGTCCTTTCTCCTCCACGTGCATGTGCAGTGCACGCGCATACACACCCAATACACGTGTATGCCGCAGCGCACGCGCATACACACCCAATAACTAATTTAAAGTAAATAATACAGAGAGATTGAGGAGATACCTGATGTTGACCTCTGACTTCAACACACACACACACACACACCCCACACACCTCACATACTCCCACCACACACACACACACACACACACACACACACACACACACCTATACAATAGGTCCAAAGCAACGAAACGTTCTGGGTAGAGGTGACAGATGCACCTTAGGATAACACCGGATGCTACAGGACGGTTCACTCTAAAAGGATTATTTGGGTGATGGGAGTAGAACTTGAGCATGTGCCCAGCCCATCCAAGGCCCTGACCAGAGCTGTGGCACTAGGGATGGGGTGGGAGTTGGGGCGGGCTCACAAACCACCCCTCCCACAAGGATCTAAAGGTAGTTAATGGTCGCTAGGGGAAGAAAGATGTTTTCTATAGTGTCCTAGCCACTTGGCAGTAGCCCATCTCCGTGTGACACCCTCCACGCCCCAGCTCTTAGTAGTCTGTTTCATTTGGGCGGCTTAAAGGAGTCCAAGGTAGGGGTAACTTACTCCCAGAAACATGGGCTACTGACAAGTAGAAGGGGGATGGGGGTCATCAGCAGTAGGAGAGGGGACAAGAGGGTCATGGGAGATAATTACGATCAAAATGCATTACACGCATGCATGAAAAGGTTAGTTTCATGTCCTGTGGATTTTACTTCAAGTTTTAAAGAAAGCGCTGGGTCCGCAGTCACCTGCCCTCAGAGTCCTGCTAAGGTCTCTCACTAGAAAGCTTTGAGAAGATCTGCATCAACCAGCAGGCTGTCTCCAGGAGTTCTGACACACTCACGTAGAAAAAAAAATTGCAGGGTGCCAAGGTCGATGTGTGACACAGAAAAGCCATTAGCCAGATGCGAGTCAGCCTGGCTGGGCACAGCTCGAGAGCCTCCTGCTCAGAGGAGACGGATGCCGGCAAGGCAGGGCAGCTGATCCACAGTGGCCAGCCAGCGGGGACCCAGCTGCCTGGCCTCATTGATCATTCCAGTGGCTCCTCATGGGCCAGTCCAGAGCAGACACCAGCCTTAGCTCACTACCACTGTCTGGGGGTTGGGGGCAACCTGCAGGTGCCGGGGGTGGCAGAACACTCAAGCCCAGATTCAGAGATGGACAAGGGCTCCGTGTCTGCCCCTTCCTTCCCTCCCAGGAAAAGCAGACCTGATGTGCTGGTGTAAGAATCTGTTAGCATGTTATTATAAAATCCCACTTCTGACTCTCAGACTCGAGCAGCCAACAGTGACACAGGTGTGAAGAGGGACAGATAGTCCTGAACCATGTAAGAATGCCACATGCAGGGGTACCAGAGACAGCTCAGCAGTTAAGAGCACTGACTGTTCTTCCAAAGGACCCAGGTTCACTTCCCAGCACCCACATCTGGTGGTTCACAACCACTTATAACTCTGGACCCATGGGATCTGATGCACTCTTCAGGCCTGCAGGAGCACCTGCACATACGTGCAGACATACTCACAGAGCCACACAAGTAAAAAGAACTCTTAAAAAAGAAAAGCCACCTCTGTCCGGGGTCACCCCAGACCTTTGACATTTTGGTGCAGGACAAGAGTTGGGAAGTCTACACATGGTGGCACCCTAAGGGCCAAACCACTATGGCACAGCGTGGTGGGAGCCCTTGGTGGGACTTTGGGGGACTGAATGGCACCAGGCTATGGGATTTCATCTTTGGAAGACCTGCCCTTCTCTCCACGTGAAAATCTAAGTCAGTGAAGACAGCATGCCCCACCACTACTTCCAGACAAACTTGAACGCTGGATAGAGGAACTAAAACCAAAGATGTGTAGGAGGGCTCTGATGGTATCAAGGCCCGAGAACTGATCACAGAACTGGCATCGCATAGCTTTGTGGACCACCAGTCAACCCTGACTGCTGCTGCCGTTCACTTCCAATACTCACAATGGGCCAACCAGATGGCTATCAGCAGATGAGGAAACTGGGATCCAGAAAAGCTGAAGGTCGGTGTGTTCTTGATTCATGTGTGTACATGTGCATGTGAGGGCCAGGTCAGCCTCAGGTGTCTTTCCTGGGGTACTCTTCGTCTCCATTGGTTTGTCTGTTTTTTGAGACAGGGTTTCTCTGTAATGTTT